GATCTTTTCTTTAAACTATCTCCTTCCATTTTTTTTCCCTGCAAGAAAAATGCCCAGCTTGCAAACGGAGGGAATCTGAAGCTAGTAAAATGTCCAGAAAGTAGAGGTTAGGTACATCCTGCTCATAGTTTTCCCCAGTGGCTTTGAAGCATGACACTTAGCTGGGTGTAATGTACACTTTTATCTTAATCTATGATATTTCCTATCTTTTCCTAGGAAGCTTAGAAGTGTACTGGTTGCCTAAATCTCTGTGTATTTTTTGCATTTGTAAGACAGCTGTGATGTGAGTTTCCTATATGGAAGTAATTCTACATAAAATTCCTCTTGTGTGAAATAACCCTGAGCATAAGGAATATCACGTTTCAGTTTCATTTTTTTTAATCTATACACATGAATACAAATCAGGCATGAAATCACCTGAGTTTGCATGGACATCTGGTGGGGAGAGGGTGTCAGATTGTCAAAAGCAGCATTGTTATGTTGTGATGAAAGCTTTGTCTCTTTGCTACTGGGGGGCATTGCAATTTTGCATAGCACCCCCCCAAAGGAGGAAACTTGCAGATGGAACTGGCACTGCTACTTTGCACTGCAGATTGTGTTGGCCTTGCCTTTCTCTGGTTTGGAGTTTGCTTTCCTCTCATAAACAGAGGTTTTTATCCCACTTTCGACCGGAAAAAAAATCTCAAAAAAGACCTGCAATCAAAGCAATTCAGAAAAGATAAGAAGAGGAAGATGCATTTGGGCTCATACTATACAAGAAGAAAGCTACAGATAGGTGCTGGATTTACTTTGGTGGTACTTCATCCATAGTAAGAGATCAGGTGCCCCAGCCTGTGGGAAATCAATAGTAAGGTATCAATGCAAATGTATAATAAACTTGAATTACTTCTATTCCAAGAAATCCATTATGCATTTATTGCAAAAGTCAATTGAGAATAAACAGGCCATTGACTATTTAACTCATTACCATAGGATGAACCATCTTTTCTTTCCATGTCTTTCAAAATTAGCAACAATTCATTACAACCTGTGATAGAAGATATTTTTTTGCTTATTTTTAAGAACTTGCAAACATACTTGTTTTATAATCATATAAAGCCAGTCTTCTGAATTATCATGGACTGAGAATCTTTGTGGATATAATCAAAATATGAATGTGAATATGAATGTGATAGTTTGCAGGGCAAGGTATTGATCTAGAGAGGAAAACGAAAGATCAGCTTTTGTTTTTCAGCAGTTATTTTATCTTTAACGTGTGAAGGATTTCACCTGAAATCTGAAGATTTTTTTTGCTTCAGAATTCAGCTTCAGTTTTCTCAGTCTTTTGAAGAGAATGCCATCTTTTGGTAATAGCATTAACTGAAAATCCTGTATGAGGGGAAGCATGCTAAAAACATCTAAGGAGATCTTTTCAGAATATAATATAACTCTTGTTTATCACCAGAATTCCTGCTTCTTCTTATGTGAAATGCAACTTTCATAAGAGCCTAACTAAATATTCCATGTAAATGTAGGCAGTAATTTTCTAATTCATAGAAAGGAAAAACAGGATATTTACAATAGGAAAACAGCAGTTGTAGGGAGTTAGCCTTTCTTAAGTTCTTTTCAGTCTTTCAAATAACCTAAACGAACCTGATAATGGTTTTATTACTTATACATCTATGGATTTCTAACAGTTTACTCATTTTTAATGACAAACATAGAGGGTTTAAAGGCCTTACCAGCCATAATTTTATTTAATGTGCCACCCCAGCTGTTTCTCCCCCAGTTTTAAAGAAAGAATGAAGACAAATTTAATCTGCACACCCAGATGTAATGCTTAAATGGCTTACTTTCACATTCTAAATACTAATACTCTGATAATAAGTATTTGAGAAGTAAGCCCTAGTGACACAGTGGGTCCTTTTTTCCAAAGAAAGTTTGCAAGTTTAAAATGTCAGAACAAATATTGTTATTTTTTAAAAATGTATTCTAATTCTTCTTAACAGTTAAAACTATGTTTACCTCAAGTATCTGAAAATTAACTCACTTATACAAAACCTGTAAAACACGCTTCCCCCCCCCATCCAACTATCTTGGGTTTTCCAAGTATCATCATATTTTAATTATTTCCAAATGAAAAGAATATTCAAAAAATATGTAAAAGTGTCTGTCCATCAAGACTCTGTCTATTTATCCATCAGCAGAATAAGTCTCAACAAACTGGACAAGAAAGGACTAAATTTCCTGGGGAGCAATAGAAAACTGAGTTTGAAAATTAGTAGGGTTAGGACTTGGTAGCTGTTCCTGGAAAGCCATTTCCCACTAGATCTGCATGGAAGACATAGTTGGGTAGTGGGTGCTAGTGGTTGCCTAACAAACATTCAAAGTACTGACAGACACCCCCCCCCCCCAAATTTGCTTACAACCATATTACACACACACACACACACACACACACACACACACACACACACACACAGTTGCAGAATCAGATTTGGGGTGCTTGGCAACCGGCTCACCTTTATGGCCAGTTGCAGCATTCTGCATTCACATGATGCAATTTCAGCTGCTTTCTGGCAAAAAGAACCCATAGGAATGCATTAACTCACTTTATGACTATGGCAACTTGTCACAAAAAGGTCATAAAATCAGGTCAAAAACAGGCCTCGACTTGTGACTGTTATGACTAACAATGGAAATTCCAGGCTCCATTATGGTTGTAAGTCGAATATCTGTACACACAGACGCAACACAATTACTTCACTACATAGAAGAAAATAGACACCTTCTAAGGCCACTGCTGATATTGGGGCTGGAAAGAATCCCAAAAACTATGCTATATATCCTTTCTTTCCCTTATTTTTAATGAAATGCTTTTTTAAAAATTAAAAATATGTCCTTGATTCACTATACGTAGAGCCTTCTATACATAGAGAAGAACAACAAAGATGATCGGGGGACTGGAAGCTAAAACATATAAAGAACATTTGCTGGAACTGGGTATGTCTAGTTTAATGAAGAGAAGGACGATGGGGGACATGATAGCAGTGTTCCAATATCTCAAGGATTGCCACAAAGGAGGGAGTCCCTCTATTCTCCAAAGCACCTGAAGGCAGGACAAGAAGCAACAGATGGAAACTAACCAAGGAGAGAAGCAACCTAGAACTAAGGAGAAATTTCCTGACAGTTAGAACAATTAATCAATGGAACAACTTGCCTCCAGAAATTGTGTATGCTCCAACAGTGGAAGTTTTTAAGAAGAGTTTTTAAGAACCATTTGTCTGAATGGTATAGGGTTTCCTGCCTAAGAAGGGGGTTGAACTAGAAGACCTTCAAGGTCCCTTCCAATTCTCTTCTCTTCTCTACTCTACTCTACTCTACTTATTCTATTCTATTCTATTCTATTCTATTCTATTCTATTCTATTCTATTCTATTCTATTCTAGTCCTTCTGTTTATGATCACTGGTAAAAAAAGCCTGTTTGTGATGTGAAATGCCTTAGAGGCTTCTCTCTTTCAGATAAAAAGCAGACTTAGAGGAATCATCTATCTTAGGAAATAAGGAAAATATTAGCTCACCTTTGGCATTATGACACTCTTCCAGTTTCTCTTCTGTATCATTTCAGAACAAAAAATAAGGGGGGGGGGATGAAACCACAGATACCTTATATCAGGGGTTCCCAACCTGTGGGCCATGGCCCACTACCAGGCTGCGGCCATTTGGCCACCAGCCATGTGAAGGGGTGGCCAGTGCATGTGCACATTTGCGCTAGCGCCACCCTGAGCATCCCACCGGCACTAGCACCACCCCATCCAGAGCGTCCCACCAGCACTAGCGCAACTCCGAGCATCCCGCCGGCACTAGCGCCACCCTGCCCCAAGCATCCCACCAGCACTAGTGCCACCCTGAGCATCCCACTGCCACTAGCGCCGCCCCTCCCCTGAGCATCCCTCTGGTGCTAGTGGCACTCTGAGCATCCCGCCGGTGCTAATGCCGCCCATAACATTCCGCCAGCGCTAGCGCCACCCCATTTGCAGCACTCATGCCCACACAGCCCCATTTGCACATGCAGTTGTGTGTGGCCGTTTGCACGTGCGCTTGCACGTGGCTCATTTGTGCACACGTGTGTGGGGTCATTTTTACATGCACGCACACGTGGCCCATTTGCACACGTGCACGTAGCGGTGTCTGCCTCCCTTTCCGGGCTGCCAAAACAAAAAGGTTGGAGACTTCTGCCTTATATTACACAAGGTGACCTGGAATAGAACTGTCCAAAGTCTGATTCTCAACATAATTTCAGAAGTCATTTAGGTTGGTTCAGGCTTAGGGCAAAATCGTTTTTCTGTTTTCCAGTAACTTCCTGATTGAGAAGGAAGAGGTCTAAGAAAGAAAGACAGAGAAGGTTGAGGAGGGAGGGAGAAATGAAAGGGATGACAAAGAAAGAATGATTTCACCCTGCTTAGCAGTGTCAAGTGGACAGCAAAATCAAGACTAGTAGCCAATATTATTGGATTGGAGTGCTTCATATTTATTTTGCATCAATTACACTACTTCACAATTTTGGGAACTTTCTGTGTACTTCAACCCCCAGAATTCCCCATTTGGTCTGTTGGGCAGCTCAGTAATTGTCTAGACCAGGGGTGTCAAACTGCCGGCCCGCGGGCTGGTTTCATCATACCGGAGCTGCACCCACCCCATTGCTGACAATGGCAAAAAAGCTTCGATACGTTGCGTGATGTCACGTGACGTTGCGAGTTTGACATGTCTGGTTTAGACTATCAAGTGAAGTCAGCCTTCAGCAGAAAAAAGCTTCCTAATCTAACGTCCTTTCTTGTAAGAACCTAATTTCAGAGATAAGATACTTATAATTAGAAGTTGCTGTTTCTAAGCTAAGACTGTCAAGAAGCTTGACATCAGGTTTCTTGTTAAGAGGATTGCATATGAATAAAACAGACTCACCTCTTCTTTTGAGATTAGTATATTTTTAATATGCATTTACAATGTGTGTTTTTTCACAGGGCACTTCACAAAAAGAAAGAAAACATCTCTTTGGTTCACAGTTGCCCTTTTGGTGGTGTCTGTTTTCATACTGACCATAGGCCTTGCAGCAACCACAAGAACTGAAAATGTAACTGTGGGAGGCTATTATCCAGGAATAATAGTAAGTCTGTCAATCCTGCATTTTAGTTTTTCCAGTATTTATATTGCATCAAATAAGGGACCAGAAATGTAAAAACGGTTTGGCTTGACTTATGACTTAGGATAGAAATTCTACTTCCAATTGTGGTCATATGTCAAAGACTATCTATATATCTGCCCTATGCAGGTTTTGTGCAATTTAACAATAAACCTAGTTCAACCAACCTAGTTTAACTTAATAGAAAGTGTGGATGTAGGTATGAAAGAGCCGAGACTCAGTTGAGTTATGGCACTGGACAGTAGAAAAACCTGAGTTCCAGTCCTGCTTCAGGCATGGAAGTCAGCTGGGTAACTTTAGCCTAGTCAACTTCTTTTAGACCTAAGAAAAAGAACTACACATTATTTCCAAACACGTTGCGTAGAACAGGGGTCCCCAACCTCTGGTCCGTGGACTGGCTTCAGGCCGCGGCATGCTAGCAACAGGGCCGCACAAACAAGCAAAGCCTCATCTGCATGATGCAGGCAGCGCACCCCCTCCGGTTCAAGGAAAACCCTCTCTCCACGGAACTGGTCCCTGGTGCCCTAAAGGTTGGGGGCCTCTGGCCTAGAAGACTGCATGTGGTTACCAGGAGCCATATCTGACTCAAAAAAAAAAAATAATAATAATGAAAAAAGCATTAAATAATGGGAATGTTCATCCCTTATATTGAAAACACTAATATGTAGTTTGGGCAAGATACAATGTATAGGACTTTATGGGAAACATGACTGGGAATGCTTCAGTTTTGACAGGCTCACCAATTAGAATGAATCTTGGGCTGGAACCTTGGCATGAGTTATCTCAGTGCCAAGTTCCCGAAATACACTCTAGGCAGGATTGCCCTTCAGGATGGATTGGAAGCAGCAGATGCTCAAAGCTGTTTGTGATTTATTGGACCCTTTCAAGGTATTGGTATGTGCCTAATAAGCAAAAATCATCAATATTTTAGGTGCTCTTTTGAGTGCCTGCTCTACTATTTTTTAGGCTAGGCACCCTCTTGTGAATCTGGAAGTGAGAATAATCCATGAAGGAATTCCTTAAAAAATAGTTTCCTCTGTGTCAGCATTCTGCCCATTATTTTCCTGTCCTGTACAGGACAGGCTCCATGTTTTGTGTATATGTGTGCATATATGTGCATGTGTGTTTTAGAGAGAAAATAAAAATAAGTTTCTTGACCCAACTATCTGATTTTGGTACTTTACTGTTGTTGTTGTTGTTAATTGCGAAATCGTGTCCGACCCATCGCGACCCCATGGACAACGTTCCTCCAGGTCTTCCTGTCCTCTACCATCTTCTGGAGTCCATTTAAGTTCTCACCTACTGCTTCAGTGACTCCATCCAGCCATCTCATTCTCTGTCGTCCCCTTCTTCTATTGCCCTCCATCTTTCCCAGCATCAGGCCCTTCTCCAGTGAGTCCTTCCTTCTCATTAGGTGGCCAAAGTATTTGAGTTTCAACTTCAGGATCTGGCCTTCTAAAGAGCAGTCAGGGTTGATCTCTTCTAGGACTGACCAGTTTGAACGCCTTGCAGTCCAAGGGACTCGCAGGAGTCTTCTCCAGCACCATAGTTCAAAGGCCTCAATTCTTTGGCGCTCAGCCTTTCTTATGGTCCAACTTTCACAGCCATATATTGCAACTGGGAAAATCATGGCCTGGACTATACGCACTTTTGTTGGCAGGGTGATGTCTCTGCTTTTTAGTATGCTGTCTAGATTTGCCATAGCTTTCCTCCCCAGGAGCAAGCGTCTTTTAATTTCTTGGCTGCAGTCCCCATCTGAGGTGATCTTGGAGCCCAAAAAAATAAAATCTGTCACTACCTCCATTTCTTCCCCATCTATTTGCCAGGAATTGAGCGGGCCGGATGCCATGATTTTGGTTTTCTTAATGTTGAGTTTCAAGCCAACTTTTGCACTCTCCTTCTTCACCTGCATCAAGAGGCTCTTTAGTTCCTCTTCACTTTCTGCCATTAGAGTGGTATCATCTGCATATCTTAGGTTGTTGATATTTCTCCCGGCAATCTTAATTCCAACTTTTGATTCATCTAGCCCTGCCTTTCTCATGATGTGCTCTGCATATAAGTTAAATAGGCAGGGCGACAGTATACAGCCTTGCCGGACTCCTTTTCCAATTTTGAACCAATCAGTGGTTCCGTGTTCGGTTCTCACTGTTGCTTCTTGACCCGCATATAGGTTTCTCAGGAGACAAATGAGATGGTCTGGTACTCCCATCTCTTTAAGAACTTGCCACAATTTGTTGTGATCCACACAATCAAAGGCTTTTGCATAGTCAATGAAGCAGAAGTAGATGTTTTTCTGGAACTCCCTAGCTTTCTCCATGATCCAGCGTATGTTGGCAATTTGATCTCTAGTTCCTCTGCCTCTTCGAAATCCTGCCTGTACTTCTGGTAGTTCTCGATCCACATACTGCTGGAGTCTAGCTTGTAGGATTTTAAGCATAACTTTACTAGCATGTGAAATGAGTGCAATGGTGCGATAGTTTGAACATTCTTTGGCATTGCCTTTCTTTGGAATTGGAATGTAAACTGACCTTTTCCAATCCTGTGGCCACTGTTGAGTTTTCCAAATTTGCTGGCAGATTGAGCGTAGCACTTTTACTGCATCGTCTTTTAAGATTTTGAATAGCTCAGCTGGAATACTGTCACCTCCACTAGCTTTGTTGTTGCTCAGCTTTCCTAAGGCCCATTTCACTTCACATTCTAGGATGTCTGGCTTGAAGTCAGTGACCATCTCATTGTGGTTATCTGGGACGTTAAGCTCATTCTTCTATAGTTCTTCTGTGTAGTTTTGCCATCTCTTCTTAATCTCTTCTGCCTCTGTTGGGCCCCTGCCATTTTGATCCTTTATCATGCCCATCTTTGCATGAAACATTCCCTTCATATCTCCAATTTTCTTGAAGAGATCTCTGGTCCTCCCTATTCTGTTGTTTTCTTCTATTTCTTTGCACTGTTCACTTAAGAAGGCATTCTTATTTCTTCTAGCTACTCTCTGGAATTCTGCACTCAATTGGGTCTATCTTTCTCTTTCTCCTTTGACTTTCCCTTCCCTTCTTTCCTCAGCTATTTGCAAAGCTTCCTCAGAAAGCCATTTTGCTTTCTTGCATTTCTTTTTCTTTGGGATGGTTTTAGTTGCTACCTCTTGTACAATATTACAAACTTCCATCCATAGTTCTTCAGGCACTCTGTCTATCAGATCTAATTCCTTAAATCTATTTGTCACCTCTACTGTATATTCATCAGGGATACGATTTAGTTCATACCTGAGTGGCCTAGTGCTTTTCCCTACTTTTTTCAATTTAAGCCTAAATTTTGCAACGAGAAGCTCATGATTTGAGCCACAGTCAGCTCCTGGTCTTGTTTTTACTGACTGTATAGAGCTTCTCCATCTTTGGCTGCAGAGCACATAGTCAATCTGATTTCTATGTTGACCGTCTGGTGATGTCCATGTGTAGAGCCGTCTCTTGGGTTGTTGGAAAAGAGTGTTTGTTATGACCATCGTATTCTCTTGACAAAATTCTATCAGCCTGTGCCCTGCTTCATTTTGTACTCCAAGGCCAAACTTGCCTGTTATTCTGGTTATCTTTTGGCTTCCTACCTTAGCATTCCAATCCCCCATGATGATAAGGACATCACTTTTTGGTGTTAATTCTATAAGGTGCTGTAGGGCTTCATAGAACCGGTCAATTTCATCCTCTTCAGCACCAGTGGTTGGGGCATAGATTTGGACTATTGTGATATTGAATGGTTTGCCTTGGATTCAAATTGAGATCATTCTGTCATTTTGGGGATTGTATCCCATTATTGCTTTTCCTATTCTTTTATTGACTATGAAGGCTACTCCATTTCTTCTGAGGGATTCTTGCCCACAGTAGTATACCTGATGGTCATCTGAGTTAAATTCACACATTCCTGTCCATTTTAGTTCGCTGATTCCTAAGATGTTGATGTTCAGTCTTGTCATCTCTTTTTTGACTAGGTCTAGCTTGCCTTGATTCATGGATTTTACATTCCAGGTTCCTATGGAGAAAAAATCTTTACAGCATCGGACTTTCCTTTCACCACCAGATATATCCACAGCTGAGCGTCCTTTCGGCTTTGGCCCAGTCGCTTCATTCTTTCTGGCGCTACTAGTACTAGCCCTCTGCTCTTCCCCAGTAGCATATTGGACACCTGCCGACCTGAGGGGCTCATCTTCCAGTGTCATATCTTTTTTCCTTTTAGTACTGTCCATGGGGTTTTCATGGCAAAGATACTGGAGTGGTTTGCCATTTCCTTCTCCAGTGGATCACATTTTGTCAGAACTCTCTGCTATAACCTGTCCATCTTGGGTGGTCCTGCACAGCATAGCTTATAGCTTCATTGAGTTACACAAGCCCCTTCGCCACAACAAGGCAGTAATCCATAAAGGGGTTACTGTTCAATTACATCTACCTATTCCGTGTTTTCTTTTGTAAGAGTTAGAATTAGGGTTAGAACATCTGTGCAATGTCACTGTGTTTGCCCATTCTGCTTAAGAGGATTTGGGTCACTGAGCCAAGGCTACATGTCATTTCCTCCTGGCAGCAGGTTGTCTTCAGAGCAACTAATTTTATTAGTGATGGAAGGAGTTGCTGTGTTCATGCCATGTGGCTCAGAATAGCTTCCCTGCTAGGCATGGCTCTTCTGTGATCTTGGTAGAAGGACCTCTGAAGTCCACTGCTAGATTCTAGTATTACCCACTAGCAGTGGTTGTGTTGATAAATACCACCACTATCTGTTGACTGCGATTCTGATTGTCCTGAGTGGGTTTCAGGCTGCACTAGTATTGTTCTAGAAGTATCATCAAAACTCCACACAAAATGGCACAGCTAACATGAGCCATATGGTCCAAAATAGAGTGTTCTTCCACTGTCGCCCAAGCAATATGTTACAAAGAAGAAGGCCAGCTACTGTGAAAGAATCATGAAGAATCTCACTGTCAAGCTGACCCATGAGATCTGCTGCAACTAAACAAGGAAATATTGTTGCATAGCATGGACCATTATAGAGAAGAAGTGCTCAGAATGACCATAGACCCCAGCATTTAAATCCCCAATTGGCACAGAAAGTTTGGTTATTCTTAATTTTGTTATCCATAGATTTCTGCTATAAATAGAAGCCCTGTTAGTAACAAGGCCTATCTGCTGAATGAATAAAAATAACGTATTTTGTTCATGGTCCAGTTCTTTGTTTTCAATTCTATTTCTTGAAGAAAGGCTTTTTCTTTATCTCCTTTCTTTTCCTAAATTACAATTGTTTCTCACCATACTTATTATACATAGTTGGAGATGGATGGACGGACAGACAGACAGACAGACTTAACTGAACCCATTTAAGTTATAAGGAAACGCCTTTTATAAATAATTAAGCTAATCCATCTTGTGTGTTTCCTAGAAGCTTGTTACACTCTTGATAAACTTTTTAATTGCAAACTGTTATTTTTCTTTTATGAAGGGTCTTATAGATAATACTGTACGTGTGAGGTAGGTTCTCAATTTATCTGGAATGGCACTTCATTTTCTGCTTTTCTGCTTATTTAAAATTAATGTCATTTTATAAATGTAGCTAACTTGTCCTGTTTTTTGTGGATTTGCTTCTTGCCATAGCTTGGTTTTGGATCCTTCCTAGGGATTATTGGTATCCATCTGGTAGAGAATCGAAAGCAAATGGTAAGCAAATAATAAACAGTGCAATTTAAAAATCAGAACATTGATTTGATGATCTGTTTTTCATTCCGTTTCTCTCAACATATAAGAATAAAATAAAGCACTCAAGATAAGCACTACTCATTAAAGTCTTCTTTAGAGCTTAATTTTATTATTGTCTATTTTATTCATGTTTCTTTTATGAGACATAAATCTAAAGTTCAACTTGATACAGCATATTCTGATTTACAATTCATCCAACACTTTTCTCCTTGTTTGATCCCAGACCTGAACACTTGGCGCTATTTAACAAAATGAAATTCAGTGGTGAAAAAAGTAAGGTTCGACATTTAGGCAAGAAAAACCAAATGCACAGGTATAGTATAGGGGGTAATAATAATAGTAAAGTTGGAAGGGATCTTGGAGGTCATCTAGTCCAACCCCCTGCTCAGGCAGGAAACCCTATACCATTTTGGACAAATGGCTGTCTAGTCTCTTCTTAAAAACCTCCAATGTTGGAGCATTTACCGCTTCTGGAGGCAGGTTGTTCCACTGGTTAATTGTTCTAACTGTCAGGAAGTTTCTCCTTAGTTCTAGGTTGCTTCTCTCATTGCTTAGTTTCTACCCGTTGCTTCTTGTCCTGCCTTCAGGGTACCTTGCTCAATAGTAGTAACTATGAGAGGGACCTCAGAGTCCTAGTCGACAATCACCTAAATATGAGCCATCAGTGTGCTGCAGTTGCCAAAAAAGCCAACACAGTGCTAGGCTGCATTAATAAAGGAATAGAATCAAGATCATGTGAAGTGTTAATACCACTTTACAATGCCTTGGTAAGGCCACACTTGAAATATTGCATCCAGTTTTGGTCACCACAATGTAGAAAAGATGTTGAGACTCTAGAAAGAGTGTAGAGAAGAACAACAAAGACGATTAGGGGACTGGAGGCTAAAACATACAAGGAACGGTTGCTGGAATTGGGTATGTCTAGTTTAATGAGGAGAAGGACGAGGGGGGACATGATAGCAGTGTTCCAATATTTCAGGGGTTGCCACAAAGAAGAGGGAGTCAAGCTATTCTCCAAAACACCTGAAGGCAGGACAAGAAGCAACAGATGGAAACTAATCAAGGAGAGAAGCAACCTAGAACTAAGGAGAAATTTCCTGACAGTTAGAACAATTAATCAATGGAACAACTTGCCTCCAGAAGCTGTAAATGCTCCAACACTGGAAGTTTTTAAGAAGAGACTGGATAGCCATTTGTCCGAAATAGTGTAGGGTTTTCTGCCTGAGCAGGGGGTTTGACTAAATGACCTCCAAGGTCCCTTACAACTTTATTGTTGTTGTTGTTGCTGCTGCTGCTGCTGCTGCTGCTGTTGTTGTTGTTGTTGTTGTTGTTATTATTATTATTATTATTATTATTATTATTATTATTATTATCTAATGTGAAAAGTTCTCTGCTCCAAAGTTATTAACAGTCCTAGCTGGAAGTCATTAATAGACAACAATTTAACTTTCTTGGCTAGGTATTTAATTGTCTTGATTACGAGGCATGATTTCATATGTCTAATTTCTTTTAAAAACTGAGTTTAAGCCCTCACTTTATTTTGTGATAGTGAAATCCATTTGTTAACACACAGAGTCATTGGGGGTTGGGTGCTATGCAAATTAATAAATTATAATAATGCTAATGCTGTTTCTTTCTTCTAGCTTCTTCTCACTAGATTCCATTTGTATAATAACCTGGGGTTCTACAACTATGAGGGAGAGTTAGGGTTCTACTACCTTTGTTGCCTGTTGAAATAGGAAATTGGGCTTTGTACACATCATATTATATAATTAATTCCTAGAATACTTGTATGCTCTGAACATGCAGAGCATCTTTCGAAGTCAGTGTTGTGATGGTTAAATCAATATGCAATGGGAAAGGGAAGGATGTGGTTTTTTATAAGTAGCAACATGTTAAATGGTCCAATTCTTGGGACAGTCTTAATTCAGCTTGAGAACAGAATCTGATAGACTGATAGTCCAATTAGGCTAGGAAAGTGGTCTGCATAATAGCATGAGCTACTTGCTGTAAGACTAAGTGCAAATTTCACAGTTAATAATAGACATTTTTTTTCCTTCCAAAATCCTGTACTTTTTTTTGCTTTAATTTTGCCTGAAGAGTACCAATGATTTAAAAACTTGCATACCATTGTATGATGGGATATAGCTGCATTTGATAAAGATCTATCTGTTGAAAAGGTTGCTTTGATACAGGTGAAAATGGAATATATAAGAAGAAATGGCAGCATTATCCTGGAGTATTGACGCTTTTCATAAATGGAAGATTGGAGGACTTATACCTTCCTGTCTTTGCTGTCATTAAACGATGCCCATGCAATTACACAATTTTCATTATACCATTTTTAAGGTGCACATGCAATTTTATTCTGCCAGATGTAATATTTGGTAGGTGAATCTCATTAGTTTTCCTAACCTAAAACATTTGATGGGCAATATGATATATCAAAATTGCTAAGAGTGTACAGTTTGGAGAACCAAGACATGGTCCTTAATTATTGGTCTGATTTAAGCTAAAGAAGTAAGTTTTAGAAAGTTAAATATGATGGTTCAAGATCACTACAGATAATTTAATGTTTGTTATTTTTAAGTCTCTTCCAAGTGAAAGAGATAACTTTGGGGACACTTTTTATTGTGGCCCTTCTCAGCTCAACAAGACCCAGTTCGATGAAAGATTGGGAAGATCCTCAAGGTTTTCTTTCAGCTACTGGAGAATGAGCCACTGTAGAAAGTAGGGAAGATTATCTTTTTTTTTTTTTAATGAAAGTTTTTTATTTTTTCCATATAAACATTATAAAAAAAAAAGTATACAATACAATTTTAAGATAAAATAAACATTATTACGACCTGCGCACTCCCCCCAGGCCGCGTCCACCCTCTCTTAAAACATTCCCTACTTCCCTCCTCCTTCTCACCTCCCATCCTATTCTCTTCCCCTCCCCTTCTCCTCTCACTACCCTACTTCCTCTCTACACTTGCCCACCTCTCATTCCTATCAAACCCATGAACGCAGCATAAGGGGGGTGCCCAGGCCGCACCCCTATAAGCAACCATTATCTATATTACACTTATCCCCCCACATTTCCTCCCTCCCACCCCGAACCCCCCTCCCTTCACTTCCCAGAGCAGAATACAGGGTTAATAATTAAAAGAATTTATAATAATAAGAAAAAAGAAAAAAAAGAAAAAAATAATAAAAAAGAGAAAAAAAATATCATACTTAACCTTTAACTCCAATAGCCTATAAGACAATTATCTGTATTATTTACTATAATATTCATTCATAAAGTAAATGAAACTTTTTAGTTCCATACTTTTTCTGAATATATTCTATCCATCTTCTCCATACAGTAATATATCTTTCTTGTGTATGATCCTTTAAATAGGCAGAAATTTTTGCCATCTCTGCAAAACTAGATACTTTAAATACCCATTCTTCTAAAGTAGGCAAAGAATCTTTCTTCCAATATAAACCTATTAATAACCTTGCGGCAGTTAATAAATTCAACATCAAAATAGTTTCTTTATCATTTAAATCCACAAAGATACCCAATAAAAATAGTTGAGGAGTAAACTTTATCTTCCTTCTAAAAATCTTTTGAATGTTCCACCAAATCATAATCCATAGGTAGGTGAATCTCATTAGTTTTCCTAACCTAAAACATTTGATGGGCAATATGATATATCAAAATTGCTAAGAGTGTACAGTTTGGAGAACCAAGACATGGTCCTTAATTATTGGTCTGATTTAAGCTAAAGAAGTAAGTTTTAGAAAGTTAAATATGATGGTTCAAGATCACTACAGATAATTTAATGTTTGTTATTTTTAAGTCTCTTCCAAGTGAAAGAGATAACTTTGGGGACACTTTTTATTGTGGCCCTTCTCAGCTCAACAAGACCCAGTTCGATGAAAGATTGGGAAGATCCTCAAGGTTTTCTTTCAGCTACTGGAGAATGAGCCACTGTAGAAAGTAGGGAAGATTATCTTGATGAAGATATCTAAATTCTGTTTTTAAGATAACAAGGGGGTCAAGCATTTTCTATGTCTAGAACATCTGGATTGGGATTTCTCAACCTTGACAGCTTTAAGATATGTGCACTTCAACTTCCAGAATTTCCCAGCCAGCCTTGTATTATATGACGAGGGCAATCTGAGAGTGAGAGTTATGTTGGCTGAGAAATTCTGGGAGTTGAAGTTGATATATCTTAAAGTTGACAAGTTTGAGAAACACTGGTCTAGATTATGTTAGGAAGTGGCTGAGACAGAACTTCCCTAATTCAATGAACAACAAGAAGGAGCAACAGGTGCAATACAATCAGACATTCCAGATTCTATTATAATCAATCTCAATAAAAGTAGCATTAGCCTTCCTGTGGAGTTGATCTCTTGATCTGAGCTAACCAGTGGGGCTGACTGCCAATCAACATTACTACATCATTACTCTGTTTAACCTACCTCATTAAGTTTATATGAGAATATAATAAGAAGAGAGTCACTATGTGTAGTCCCTTATGCTACTAGAATAAGACAATATATTCATGTGTTGGGCCATACCATTTACCACAAAAAATTAAGGGGAGCTTAAGGAAATGTCCATGTGGGGGAAGGGGGGCAGCTGAGAAAAATGAAAGAAATTCTTATCAAATTTGTAAATAACAATACAGGCCAAGACAGACAATATTCTAGAAGACAGAAGCACAATTCAGAATATTCATGATTTCAGTGGATTATAGATTAAGAGGCAGAACCATTGTGTTGGCAAAACATTAAATTCTGCAAAAAAAAGTTCAGTCCTGAGCCAGGTTATCATAATCCCAGGTATTATTCAGGCAAAAAGGGAACAGATGCATAACAGGCACAAACCAGGTTCAACTGGGCTGAGCAACAAGCACTGATTTCTTCTAGGTTCGACATGTTGGATTTTCCCCACAAGATCAGGGGCTTGTATTACACAACAAGGCTAGTTATAAATTCAGTCTACATATTAACAGAGGGCTGATGGCACAGGTGACATGCTTCAGCCAGTACATTGTCCTTCTAAGTTTGAAATTCTTCATTTGTAGAGTATTTTAAAATGCAATATTAAATATATTTGCAGTGTCAAGTAATGCAGCAAACTGGCATACAGGTAGTTCTTATAGCCATAACCAAGCCCAAAATTTCTCTTGTTAAGTGAGACATTTGTTAAGTGAGTTTTGCCCCATTTTACAACCTTTCTTGTCACAGTTGTTTAGTGAATCACTACAGTTGCTAAGCTACAGTAGTAACACAGCTGAAAGTGAATCTGGCTTCCCCATTGACTTTGCTTGTCAGAAGGTCGCAAAAAGTTATCACATGACTTTGGGACACAATAACAATCTTAAGTATGAACCAGTTGCCAAGCATCTGAATTTTGATCACATGATCATGAGGATGCTTCAAAGGTCGTAACTGTAACTGCGACCGTAACTGTGATGGTCATAAGTTACTTTTTTCAGTGCCACTGTAACTTTGAACTGACACTAAATGAACTGTTGTAAATTGAGGACTACCTGTAATCTAAAGTTGTAAGCAAAATATATATATATAATTGATAAGCTGTTGCCAAGCTTTTTTTTCCCATAGCTGTTAACACCAAGCATACACTTCTCGTGATGCTAGTAAATGATAAACAAATATGTACATTTGAGTAGGGGCCGTAAGATTATCTGGGACACTACACATCCTCTTCATGACCTGTTCTCCTTGTTACCTTCTGGGAGGAAGCTTCATGGTATCTGTAACAGAACTTCCAGATTCAGCCATAGTTTTATTCAATATGTCAACGCTGCAAATATTGTATATTCTTGCTTTTGACAATATGCAGAATTGTCTGGTAATTATGGGGTTAATACAGAGCAGAAAAGGGGTTGGGGGTAAAGCCTGGGAAAGAAAGAGGAAGAAAACATTTGACCTTCACACTAATTGGATAATGTGAGATATGACCGCTAATTTAGGGAGGGAACATGCTGATAATTTAACTGCTCAGAGGAAGAGAACTTAGATCCTAGCATCCCTCTGTTGTGCCTGTGCCGACATTTTGATTCAATAAAAGACTTTTAGGAAAATAAATGCCTGGAAGTTCTTGAAATGTTTCATTAGCCGGAACCATAGGAGGGTGGGTCTATACATATGTTGTATATAGTATGTTTAGGTGTGTGTCATGTATGTGTTTCACTTTGAGAGCGGGCAATTAAATTTCCTTTTTGATGTGTGCCATTGTGCCCACAGTAAAAAAATGACAATAAAGGTTATCTTATCTTATCTTATAGGCCAGTTTTTCTCCACCTTGGCAATGTGAAAATGTGTTGACTTGGCTGCCTAGGTCCTTACATCTTTAAGCTGCCAGTGTTGAACACTGTTAAGAACTGTGAGAAATAGTAGAACTCCTATTTTGTTTTTGACAATTCAAGATACTTGGTTTATTAATATATCCAGTTTAGCATTTTTCCAATATGGAAAGCTGGATTCAGAAATTAGTAACATTGTTGCCTTAACATAGCAACTATTTTTTTCAGGGTAGCTCAAATAGGAGAGTAAATTAATAGTTTCCTCCTGATCTTTAAATTTTATAGGAAGGAAGTGTTCCAAATGTTTTAATCTTGAGTGTACTGCAATCACTCTTTGAATCCCAAAATCAGAGTTGCTTAATCATCGTCAATGAGTAAAGTTGACCTTTCTTTGATCCTTCTTTTAACAACCATTTAAGTTGATTCTCTTTCTTTTTTTCTTTCAATGCCATTTTTAAATATATTGGGCTAGTTAACTTTGCTGAAATATCTTTAAGTTATTTTTTTAGAATTCACTTGAATAATCAACTTTTTGCATAATTTTTTGTCCCTCTGGACGATCAGAATGCGTTGAGGCTTTTCAGAAAAAAATAATTAAATTTCCTCCTCCACAAGAGGTGAAGTTGCAGCTAGGTAATTACAAAGCTTTTTCTCATTAGAAATCCATTGTAATCATCCTAAGTGCTGCAGCTCAAATAGATATAAATGAATAATGAACATCCAGTACCTGTGATATAATCGTATCCTGTAATGAGACATTTCTTGAGTGAAGTCTCAATTACACCCAGGCTCTTATCGTGGCACCAACCTTTGGAGAGAATAGAGTATAAATTGTATGTCTTGGTGCCTATTGCAATGATAAGCTGCCTTAATAGCTGCAGAGGGGCAACCAGGCAAGACACGATGTATTTGGTTGTATGCTGCATATGTGGAGGCGGCATTTCAGTACCCTTGGTTCTCTAAAAGACAGGGCAAAATAGTACAGTACATTAAACAATTATCATGAGTCTACCTGCCACTCACAAACAGTCTGATAATGGTACCAGCTCAAGCAGAAGGCTGGGAACTCCAGTTTACAAATATCCTTGGTTATTATTTGTTTATTTGTTTGCTTCTCAACCCCAGGGGACTATACTATACTATATTGTTTCCCTACACCAAATCTAGCTATGCAAACATTGAGAGGCTTTGCACAAATGAATGGAGGCATTAGCTGGATAGACTAATCAGAGATTGAGGGTTATGATATAAATTCTTTTATAAGCAGAATGCTTCATTCAATATTATTGAATGAAGCATCTTTAGGAAAATCTTTAGGAAAGCAATCTTTAGAAATAAAAAATTAAGCATATCACTTCATAACCAAGATCGCTCAAGAGGGATAAAATAGGCTGCATTGGGTAGAACATTTTAATTAAACAACAAATGCCACACCCCCTTCAGAAAATCTATTCCAGTTACTGTGCTCAGTGCAGTATTCTCCATGCAGTCACATTTCTACATAGGGAAGCATTAAAAATTATGGTCTTCTGTCTGTAGGATGGAGTGATAAACAGCACATAATCATATCTAAACTATCAAGTTTATCCAGTTCTTTGCCATATGCAAGCAGATGCTTGCTGGATGGAGGAAACTATTATAGGTTGGTTAAGCCTAGCTCCATCTTATTTTTCTTTTATAGACTAGGTAATTAATGCTGAACAAATCACTTGTCAGTTTTATCCAGTGAATCTTTTTCATTCACCTAGTGCAGGGATGTCAAACTGCCGGCCCACCGGCCAGTTTCATCATACTAAAACCATGCTCACTCCATCGCTGGCAATGCAAAAAGAGTCACGATAAGTCACAACACATCACGTGATGTGGTGAGTTTGACACCTGTGACCTAGTGCACCAATGGGAAACATTTACTTAGAATCATTGAATCATCATTTAGTGTCCATTTTATGCACAGTAAGATCAGCTACATATTTACTTCCTGTCATGCATCTGTCTGGTATATACTTAACTATCAATAGGCTTATTTAGCAAGACTGTGTATTTTATGACATGAAGGAATGTTTTACATGTGTTGCAGAGCACAGCACATGTGTTCAATGTTTATAGCATGTGCAAGCAATTCTGTTTTCTAATGTCCCTGATTTCTCTTTTTAGCTGATAGCATCCATCGTGTTCATCAGCTTTGGAGTGGTAGCAGCTTTCTGTTGTGCAATTGTTGATGGTGTGTTTGCAGCACGTCACATAGTAAGTATTTCCTTTTGTGTATTCTTCCTCCTTGTTAACATTAAACTGCTTATGCAGTTTATGTGTAACCAACAACTTCTTCATTCTGTGATGCAAATCTAGACATTTAGCTAATTAGATCATCATAGGGCAGTGGTTCCCACTTTTCTATACCCCGCACCCCTAGAACGCTTCTGATATACAGTATTCTCACAGTCTTTACAAAAGTTCAAAATAATGGCAACAAATTATGCATATACATTATAATTTGGAAAACCCAAGTTTTCACACTCCATGGAATATCGTCTCACACCCCTGGTTGGGAACCCCTGTCATAGGGGCTATTTATAAGAAATTTGCAGTTTTATCCTTCCTATTTAGGTTAACTTAAAATAGTCACACTAAGCTGATTGGGGCTTACTCCCAAACAGTTGCACACAATTGATAGGGCACTTGACTGAATTGCTACATTGATATAAAAATATAAAGCAAGTTTTTTTCACGTAGACAAGTTGCAGGAATCTTAGTTTCTTATGGCGTGTATTCCCTGTAAGGTCTGAACACTTTGCAGGATGAATCTAAACCACTAATTGTCCTTGGTAAAAGTTCAAGGATAAACAGGAGGGTCGGCAGGGCGAAAAAGTCAATATGGCAGGTACAACAATGTGATTGAAGCTCTGCCTGTTTTTCAGGTGGGTTGGATATAAAAATATATATCTTTGATCACTTCCACCCTGGCTGCCACCTTGACTTATTTATTTATTTTGCCATATTCTCTGGATACCTCCGAGCCTAAACAGTATGGATCAGAACCAATGGGACAGGTATGGGGAAATGAAAGGCAACTGATGAAAATGTTCTAAAATGCTGTTTAAAGTGAGAGATTTGTTGGCTTTGCATGAAGAAAAACAATATTAGGAGTTTTTTAATGATTCATTAAAACAGAGTCCATGTCCACTAAGACTGAAGGGTAACTGGCCCAGTAAGGCAGACATGGATTTTTGATTCTGAACACTTAGGGTATATTTTAAACTGTTAAATGTGATTTTCAAATATTAAAGGCATCCGAAACATAGTTCCTTTGCTGATCCAACAAGACAAATGTGGTTCCTTGCTTTTGATTGCTTGCCATTCAGCCTCCACCCAATTCAATACTGTCCAGATAAATCACACCCATCTGCGATGATGGTTGTCTTGCTGGAATGCATTGCACCAACTGCCTGTCTCGGCAAACCTTGCTTGAATTTGTATAAACTACCTGGCCTATCCTTGCTTAGCCTTGATAAGAGCTTAGGGTTTATTTGCTTGACCAATCATGTAAAAACAGATTATACAATCAGTGGGAGCAAATAGAATCACCACATTTGGAGTTGCTCTTCATACCATAAAAAAAATCATGAATACCTTGGCATATCTATGGAGATTCTCAGCCATCCAGGTCATAGTTATCCCAAAGATGCTTTTCCACAAGGCAACTGGATTTCTTTGTTTTTCTTTGAAGACGTTTCGCTTCTCATCCAAGAAGCTTCTTCAGCTCCCCACCATCCAGTCAGAGTTGAAGAAGCTTCTTGGATGGGAAGCGAAATGTCTTCAAAGAAAAACAAGAAAATCCAGTTGCCTCATGGAAAAGCATCTTTGGGAATACCTTGGCATGTCATCTTCCATGTTTAGTCTTGGATTGTAATAGGCATGGATGGTTGAGATTCCAGAGAATCTCTGCTAGATATAGTGCAGTTTAAAGATAAACAAAACAGAGCTATATCTTTTCTGTCTCTGTAGTCCCACTTGTATACCTTTATCAAAAAGAAACCTCATGACACATACCATGAAATGAATAGTTGGAGCTGGAAGGAAAAAGAGCTGCTTATACCATGACAGAACATTGATTTTCTTACAGTAGATGTCCAGTTCCCTTGGTTAACACTACAAAGAGGTATATGTGAGGAAAGTCCTACAATTTTCTGAAAAATATAAAATAACATGACAGCATAATGCAGGGGGTTTCAGACTTTTCCAGACCATGGAACTTTTCTCCTCATGCCTCTGACCATAAAATCTGGGGTAAATGATGAATTCTGATTTTATTGATTAATAAGAGCAGAAAATGGGAAGAAGGGAACCATATAATTTTGAAGGGGAGAAATAGCTTTAAATATATTTATAACTGCAGTGAAGAAGGTTGGAAGTTCCTTCCTTAACTTTTTCTGTTTTCTGTTTCTTTTCCTTTTTTCCTTTTTATTGCTTTCCTTCTCCTTTTTTCTTTATTTTGGCTTACATTTATTTTTTTTTAACTTAACTATAATATTCAATAAAAATTATTTTAAAAAATTCTCCCCCAAATCTCTGACCAGGGAGGGGTGGACTTTAGAGAGCCAGTTGACATTCTGCTGTGCCTTGGTTATTAAAAAAAACCTGCAAAGAACTAAAGGAGAAAAATTATCCGTTCCTTGCAGAGAGGGTTTTTTTTAATTGTTTTTCATCTTAGTCATTTATGGACAGTTTTTCTTTAACCCCTTATAGATTTTTTTTCTCATGTGGAGAGTTTTCCATTAGAGACTAAGGGAGAAAAACCCTTCATCATTTGCAGAGAGTTTTTTCCTCTTTTAGTCCTGCAGATCCCACTCAAATTTTATTAAACCCTAGGGGTCCACAGAACCCAATTTGAAAACCCCGATATAATGGATTTCTAATGTCAAGTGAACTATGAACCCCTTTAACCTTGGGGAGGAACATAGCTTGGCACTTTACTCTGATTTCTTTTGGCAAGAACTGGAATGAAAAATGCCAGTACTGTCCATTTTTGCCAGTGTATTCCTATTTTAAATATGAAAAAAAAATGTTTTCCTTGATTTTTTTAAAGAATATCAAGAATTATACAAGTTTAGTATCTTTTCATCTCAGTGATAAGTGCTTTCAGTTTTATTTTATTTTTTAAAGATGATGAATTAGAAGACAATCTTTTCTATGTTCAAAAATGGCATACTTAATAGCAGAAAGAAAATATCTGCATGTGTCTTTGTCTATATCTGTATCTATATCTGTACAATGATTTGTCCAATTCAGAAGAAAAACACTTCACTTAAGAAAAGCACTTAAAAAAATTAGACATGGATGTAAAGGTAGCTTGGTTTAATGTATTCCTGTTTTATTTCAGAATTTTAGTACTTGTAATTTGCTTTTGTTTCCATCAAGCATCTGTGTATTTGAACCCACTGTTCACTTTTAAAAATGACTGAAATGCCTAAATCAGATGAAATAAATACAGCTGAAAGTAGTTTATAATGATGTTAGTGCAGATAAAAAGGAAAATTACAGGAACCTATTATACATGAATTATGTTGTTTTCACATATATTGTTACATAGCAGTGACACTGGTCCTTACATGCTGCAAACAATTGCCCTTGCAGAACAAGCAAAACAAATCAATTTCTCTTCTGCACCCAGCATCACCCTCCTTAAAAGAAAAGAGAAAAAAATTTCAAGTGATACCTCTTCAATAATTGATAAATGCATAATTGGGTAGCCAATGAAATGGAGAACAGATCACATAGAGCTATACTGTGCATTTATTATGCCACTGGAAACATATACGGAAAATTTGGCTGCCACTGCGAGAGAGGCAGAATACAAGTAAAGGTAATATGAACTTTCAAAAGAAACTAAAGAGGGTAAACTAAGCCAGGAGGGAAGGCATTGTAGCTTGAATGAGGTATGTGACATTTGAGTAGAGAATGATTGTATTGCAATATTTAAGCAGTCTGTTATTTTATAAAAGAATGAATAGCACAGAATTGTTTCATTGTAGATTTTATACTAGAACAAATGTGCATAAATGTATAATAAATAATAAAGGCAAGAACTATACCAGGTGGGATGCTAATTGTATGTCTTCATTGTATGGCTTTTACTCAAACAGGGTCAAGAAATAAGGGATATAAGGATATAATTCTTTCCAAAACCTAAAGGCTTATCTGCACCACCCAGCTCCTTCATTGCCAAAACAGACCAACAACCACTTCTGGAAAGTAGAAAAGGACATTGCTTCCTTTAATCCCCAACCTATCATCAGAGTTACCTCAGGATATGCTTTTCTGTTCCACTTCCTAAGTACACTTTTCCAGGTTATGTCATGTTCCTATCTGTTTGTTGCAGGTGAACCCCAAGCAGTTGGCTACTTTACAGACCCAGAAATACCCCTTCAGACTGATTCAATGCTTAGTATAGTCTGTTATACCGTTCAGAGCTTCTCTTCCCATGGATGCTGCAATATCACAAAGACTATAACTCTTACTTTGTAAATGGAAGGTTGCTCATTTGGAGGAACCTGCTAGGAAAAAAAAAGTACTGGGAAAAGTAGGAATCTCAGGAAAAGAAAAAAAATTTCTGCCACATCCTGAACCAGAAACCTTCTGTATACAAGATAAATTTTATAGCTGAGTTATTATAGCCCTCACAAAAAGACATTAAAAACAGAATAAGAAGTGATATTTTAAAAACTGCATATATATTATGTTGATGCTTTAATTGTATATGTATAAGTTTAGTTTAACTTTGTGTATAAAGATATGTATGGATGTATTCATATATACATGCATACTATATATCAGGTAAGATTCCTCCATAACTGTCCCCAACAGGAGGGAAGGTGGCTGCTTTATAAAACAGAAAAGTGGGAAAGCCCAGCAGACCCAAAGTGAGTTCATGGTGGCCTATATTTGGACTGAATAGTTTGCAAGCTGTTGCCACAATGTTTCAGTCTGAACAGGATTTTCTTAAGCTGGTTTAATAATAGGCTGGTCTAAGCATAACACAAGTTCTGACATCTCCTAGGGCTGCCAAGACCTGTTTGTTGAAGAAAGCCCTATTGAGTCTGTAACAGTTTAGTTTAGCTTTTATGTAAAAATATGGAAGAGTGGGTGGGTGGAAATCAAAAGGAAAACTGAAAAAGGTGTGATTGGACAAGACATGAGTAGTAAAAAGCAAAAAGCAGTGTATGAATCAGCCTATGGTAGAATCATAT